ATGGATCTTGACATGAATTTGATTATGAACTTTTTTAATTTTCCTCAAAAATAGGCAAAAACGGGTTATTTCACCTGATATAGGTTTTAGCTAGGTCTCTGAAACTTTCTAAGAAAAGCAATTGTTGCCACGAGATTCAGCGTGGTCGATTACCTATGTTTCCATTCGTTTTCGGAGTTAAACCTCTTCAAAACACCTAAAGAAATATTGGTCCTGGGCCTCTCCGGAAATCCGAGGCCACTCCTAATCCAGGAAATACTAAGAGTTTGCTTAGTTCACGTTTTGAAAGGATACTTTGGACTGTCTGTCTATAAGAGAAAACTAATAGGTTGCTATTCAATTTCCGGAGATCTAAACTTGTTTTTAAAAGATCTTCTAGAAAACCGGCCTTTCGAATGTTGTCAGAAAACGGTTTTGCTTATGAAAATATAGACTAAACTGTCCTCTTTCGATTCTTGAAAACCACAGGTCCCTACCTTTTACTGCCTTTAAGTCATTCAAAAAATAACTGCCAATCTGATATTTTGGGATGGATAATAACTGTTTGGAAAAATATTCAACTACTGTATAAAAGAAAATAGAAGAAAATTTCGAAATTGATAAAATAGGATTTTTTTAGCATAAAGTAACATCCTTTAAATATCTCATATCCCTGAAGAGGAAGATCGCGGAGAACACTTTACCTTGTAATGCACTATTTCTGAAAACATTTCAACCTGGTTTTTTTTCGTAAAATTCTATACAACGATATAGTGAACATTTTTAGAAAATAAACATTTTTTTTTCACAGAAGGAGAAATCAAGATAAAAAAAATATTTCAAGACTCCTTCGATATATGTTGATAATATTTTTGATCGAACGAAGATGATGCTTTTATCTAAATTTTTGTTTTTACGAAACTGTGCCAGCAACCATATATTTATTTTCATTTTAGGACTTAACGTATCGAATAGGTGATCGTAGACAGTAAATAAAACGTATCATATAAGAAAGCTCAGATTTAACATTTGTTTATTTTTCGTATTTATTTTTTATCTATTTTGTGTTATTTATATTTTTACATTGTAGTTTTTTATTTATTTTTTGTTCTACTAAGCAGCAATCAAGAAATTCTTTTTAATTTTCTTCTTTTTTATTTAGTGCATTAGTAATTGAAGTATGACATTCGCAGTTCCAGAGATGGACAGCTCCGACTCTTTCTCGCTCCAGCTCCGCTCCCGCTCCAGGCATTTCTGAGTCGCTTCGCTCCGACTCCGCTCCAACAAGAACATTTCTGCACCCGCTCCGCTCCAACCAGTAAATTTTCGCTTCACCTCAGCTCCAGCTGCGCTCTAATTCCACTCCCGCTCACTCCAGCTCCGCTCCGACTTCGCTCCAGCTAAAAATAGTTCTCATTTATTTATCGTACGAATAAGGTCGAATGTGGTAAGACAGAACGGAGTCAATGGACTGCTTGTAGTAGATTGTGCGACGGGGGAACAATCAGTTGTTCTTATTATACCAAGGAAATATCGTGCGAAAAATGTACAATCGGCACGGAAACTGAAAAGTGTAACGAATGGAACTGCCCAAGCAAGTATTCACAAGACTATTCTAGCCAAAAATAAATATATTTCACTATTTATTGTATGGAATGTCATCACGAGGGTTGATGTTGATCTATTATTAGATTCAAGTGGTAGCCTAGGTAAACAAGCCTGGACTCGTGTACTAAATGTTGGCGCTAAATTTGTTGAAGTTATGAAAAATCAACACGTTTCGACTGGACTTAGTATTGTTAACTTTTCATCTGATGCTAAAACATTCAAATATTTTAACCAGCGGGTAATAGTAAATGAGGTTCGACAGATTCCATATAATGCGGGCAGTATGTCATCACATGTCTCCCATGTTTCATTCCATAATTCTCTGCCATATCGTTTAGATACAGCAACACACAAAAGATTGAATACAATGAAACAAGAAATATTTCAAGTTACTAATGGTGATCGACCTTTTGTGTTATAAATGTTGTATTTGTATTCACTGATGGAGTATCAGATTCAAGATTTGATACTGCTGCAGCTACACAACCATAAAAAATGCTGGTATTGAAATTTATTCAATAGGCGTTGGCAACGCAGTTAGTTTTGAATTACTGGAAATGTCATCCAGTGATAAACACGCGTTTTATACACATGATATTCGAGATATGTCGGAACTCCTTTATTCTTTAATGAAAGCAATTTGTCCTGAGTAATAATATTGATTGTTCTCATAGTTCTTCAGTTGTGTTTACATTCACCGTTGATGCAAAGACGATTTTAGAAGCAGAAGCATTGATTTTTTCAAAATAAATTTTGCATAAGTTCTACATACTTCAATTAAAATTAAAAATAGACTTGTTTATTGTTCCCTATCGTCGATGAACATTAGAGAAAAAGTGAAAAATTCTAAAATGTCTTCAATTCGGTGTATACTAATGGGAAATGAGAAAGTGTAGAAAATCATAACTCAGCGGACTATGAAGCCCATTCGAAAAGCAGAGAAAATTGATAGGTTCCTCTCTAAAAAAGAAATTATATTTATGAAGTCAATGAGATTATTCCCCAAAGAATTACTTACTATGAGTAATGCTAATATTTAAACATTAAAGTTTGCAATTTTATATTGAAAAAATATTTCAATTATTTCAAACAAGACGGAAAAGAAACAAATCGAACAAAATAAAGATAGAATTTCGTCTCCAATTATTATAGATGTAATCACTCAATTCATCTTAAAATTCCTGTTAATCAATCCACTTCAATTCTTAGAGTTAGTGAAATAAAAAATAAAAGGATATGTACACTCATTAGATCTAAAAAATGACAATTTTTGAAAATTCCGTTTTCTCGACATCACCCTCAGTGTGTTGAAAGTGGCAAAATAGTGAGTGGATTTTGGTCACTTTCTTACGCTCGTTTAGATAAGATGTTGATTGACGAGAATGGAGAAAAACTGCTGATGCTCTAGCCAAAATACGGACCATCCAGTGGGAAAAAAATGAGCGTGATTTCGTGAATTCCTACGGTAGAAATATTTTTCGACGATCATTTCAATTTTTCTGTAGAAAATACTTTTATTTTTTTAATTAATGAAACGGGATTTCTGACAAAATTCTGTCCGCGATAGTTATTCACTGGTTTGTTTTGCTGAGGTATATGGTATATGAGAGATACTGACTTTTCGAAAATTATTTTAATTTTTGTCATGCGAGTACTGACTTCATTACCAAAAGGTCGACTTTATGATATGTCGGCGATCATTACTCAAACAAAAACTTAAATGTTAATTCAAAGTTCTATAAAAGACTAAATATTGCTGACGAAAAAAATTTAGAGAATCACATTTTATCTCAATGGCACGTTTTCTCAAAATTGCATATCGAACGCATATCTGTTGCTCAAATAGGGCGCCAGTTTTCTAAAATTCAGTCGAACGAGACGGTGGATGTTTTGCGCTAGTTTATTGGTCCGCTGGAATTATCCAATAGTATGTTATCTGTTTTATTCAACCCGTTCATTATTTGATTGTCTATAGATATAGATGATTCATATTATGTACATTATGTGGCGATTCAGATCTATACATCCATAAAAGGAAACGTGTGTTTGCGATGTCAAAACTTAACATAGTTATTATATTTTTTTAAGGATATAACTAACAGTGTTGAATTGGTGTCTCGTTGTTTCAAATAGAAGAATCATTCTTAGATCATTTTGTTAGTATAATTTTTGAAGTTTATGTTATAATTTCTAATATTTATCTTTCATCAACCTTCAGTGTCAGCCATAGAAGAAATTATATAAGAAGTTGTATTATATTTTGTCTTTATTCGTGTATCAATATTAATTACTGTGTTACGAATTTTGTTGTGGGTGAAAGACAAAATGAATGTGACAGTTATTGTTCGACGACAGATTTTTTTCTCAGAACGTGTAGAAGAGATGGCTATTGATAAAGAGTCTTTTAACGCCAACGAAAGTAAAAGATCATCTCTAGAAGTACTATTCCTACTAAGAATGGTTGATTAATCGATATTTTTAGTCAAAAATTGTTTTATTTTTGTTCGTCATGTACTTTATAAGTCGCGCATTAGTTCATTTTATCCATGGGGAAATTTTAGTATATAAAACGGCGTGCACATCAGTAAATATTGTGAAATGAACTGTAGTCACACGTGAACATTGTAAAATGGTGTACGGAAACGCGTGAAAAATATATTCCACGTGTGACAACGCGTGAACTGCTTACGGAAACTTTTCGCGTCATACTCGCACGTGATCACTAGTGAAAATCGTCCAACGGTGTGTAAACACACGTGAAAAGAAATTGTCATTTGTGAACGTGTGTGAAATTATAGCAAGTTCACACGTGACCACACATTTGATGTTACAACTACACAGTCCCAACGTTGTGAAACTTCGACAAAATTTCCCTATAGTGGTACAGCCAGATTTGTGTCTGTTATCATCTCTAAAATATTGATTAAAAAAATTTCAGTTGTTTAATCTTTTGTCCTTATTTTAGATTTGCTTTTTCTCTTTTCTTACAGAAATGAATTGTTCCCTAGGTATGCGCTGATATCTGTTTTATTTATTGTATCAAAGATAAGCAATATTGTATTTTTAGTCAGCGTGTTTGCTTCATTACCTCGTACGACACGTGGTCAACCCATCGTGTTAGGCAGTGATCCAAAAGGAAAAACATTTCTGTATACAAATGGAAACAGTGTATTTATTCGAAATATTGATGTTAGTTAATAAAGTTCATTGAGTATAATAGCTGAGATTAAACATTTTATGATATTTTTCATTATTTAGGATCCGTCTATTTGTGATGTGTATACCGAACATTCGACAACTGTTTTATGCGCTAAATACTCACCATCTGGCTTTTATATAGCATCAGGAGGTGCGTACACATTTAAAGAAACGATTACTCCTACTTGACGTAACTGAGTTTTTTGTCTTTTTTATACGATAATGAAAAATATTCATTTTTTGTTACAGATCAACATGGGAAAGTTCGTATATGGGACACAATTAATAAAGAACATCTATTAAAAAATGAATTTCAACCATTTGGAGGATGTATTAAAGATTTAGCTTGGACAGCCGATAACCAACGTATTATAGTTGGAGGAGAAGGAAAAGAAAAGTAGTGTGACATAGACATAGTAAGAATGATTACAAGAAACGATAATCAGTTGATTTTTTTAGATTTGGACATGTATTCTCAGCTGATGCTGGAAATTCGGTTGGTGAAATCGTTGGAATGACAAAAGCAATAAATTCTGTTGATTTTAAATCAAATAGACCATTTCGTGCAATAACAGGAAGTGAAGATAATGCTGTTTCATTCTTTGAAGGACCACCATTCAAATGGAAAACAACAATGTCGGTAAGAGTTTATTTTAAAAATAACTGACTGTCTGTTTATACTTTATTTTCATAAATGATTTTTCCACGTTAGGATCATGAAAAGTTTGTTCACGTTGTACGATATTCTCCTGATGGTGAAAAATTTGCTTCTGGTGCTGCTGATGGACGAGTAAGTGAAAACGCATTCCATTCTATATCAATTATTAAATATTTTTTTGAAATTTATTTTTAAGGTACTTATCTATGATGGTAAAACCGGTGAAAAGCAATCAGAACTCGGTTCACCCGCACATACGGGAAGCATCTACGGTTTATGTTGGGATCCAACTAGCCATTTTATATTAACAGCATCCGGTGATAAAACAGCAAAAATATGGGATGTCAGTAAAGGAAGTCTACTCGAGTATGTTCCAGAAAGTATTTGATAGAAAACTATTTAAAAATATGTGTTTTATTTAGAAATTTTGCTATGGGTAGCGATTTGAAAGATCAACAAGTTGGTTGCTTATGGCAAGGAAATCATATAATTACTATTTCATTATCTGGCTATATTAATTATCTTGATCGAAGTAAACCTGATGTACCACGGCGCGTTGTCAAAGTATATGTTAGATAAATACTATTTATTATAATGACTAATACGTGTTTCTCTTCAGGGTCATAATAAAAGTGTGACTGCAATGACAATATTTGGCGTTAGTGGCAATCAGAATCCAGCTGCCAACAAATATATTTATAGTGCTAGTCATGACGGTGTTGTCAGTATCCTTTTTATGATAAAAAATAGAAGCTTATAAAGGAATATTGATAAGTAACCCACACTATTTTTTTGATTCGCATGACATTTTAATCTGAATATTTGAAGTAAATGTCTTCTTACTAGGACTAACTAATCCTGAAAATTGCTGGTGGCTTTATGATCTAGATATAAAGTGTCTTGATGCATAAATAATTTGTTTTATTCATAATTCTGTGGTCACGATACAGTACTCTAATTAGATAGTTAGACTTTTACAATCAGCAATTAATAACTAATTTTTTAAATGTTACCCAGAACATAGTAGACTAAGAAATTTAGTGATCCAGTTGAGTGAATTGAAATTTAGTAAAACAAGAAAGAAAAATCGTGTTTGCATCGCATGGTAAGAAAGCGTTCAATCAGATGAACAGTTTTTGATGTTATTTACCCACTTTAATGAAAGTTTTTATTAATTATATAATCCATTCTGGATTTTATTCTCTCAGCATCGCTCAGAAGATACTCTTCCCTTAACATAAAGTTTAAGTTCGATGGAATGAAAATGGTACTGATACGGAACTAGTCGATGGTGAATGTCATACAAATCAAGTTCAAAGTTTTAGTTCAAATTCTCGTCGTGTTGTATCGTGTGGTCTTGATGACACTGTGCGATATATCAACGTTAGAACTAATTCATATGAGTATGTACTATATAGCTTAAGTTATCTTCACTAATTTATATTGTGTTCTTATTTTAGGCGTACCGAGAAACTGTCTAGTCAGCCGCGTGATATTTGCATCAGTGAAACAGATGTTGTATTTTGTGTTGCTTCAAATATGATCTATATGATACAAGATGAAGGAACAATGGTCACACATAAACTGAATTACGAAGCAACATCTGTCGCTGTACATCCACATGGAACAGAATTGGCTATTGGAGGAAAAGTGTGTCATCCATTTAGGAATTCTTTCAATTTATTTATGGTATTTATTTGTAGGATAATAAAACACATGTGTATATGATCGATGGTACAGCATTAACAGAAATTCGTATATTTGAACATCATGATTACATTGTTAAAGTTACTTATTCACCGCAAGGAAATTATTTTGCATCTGCTGATAATATGAAAAATGTTAAATGTTATAAATTACCAGAATATCAAGTATGGTTAACTTAAAATAGCTTATGTATATATATATATATTAATGATGTTTCTATACTCTTCACATAGGAAATTAGTCGTGATATGTGGCGTTATCATGCTGGTACAATAACATCACTCCAATTCAGTCTTGATGGAAAAAAATTAGCATCGACTGGTATTGATACACATTTAATGCTTTATTTACCAGAAAATGTTTCCAAAGTTACACAAGTCAAAGGTAAGGATGTACATGAAGTTTCTACATGTACAAATACCTTTCTCTATATAGGTGCTCATCAACTCAATCCTGTTACATGTTCGGCATGGCTTACAAATGATACGTTGTTTACAGGTGGTAACGATTGTTGTTTGAAAAAATGGTCTGTTCGTTAATGTGCATCATATTAACTTAAATCGTGTTTTTTACACATGTTAATTTATTCACCGTCCTAGACTTTCAACACTTGTTCCTTTTTTTGTTACTGATTTCCGTCGTATGCATACACCGATCAACGTTTGAATAGCTCGTACGTGTGTTTTTCTATTCATTTTCTTTTTGATCTACTTTTTGGCATTTTCATTAAACTTATTTCACAAAATTTAGGAAATCTGCGTATATCAACAATTTTTCAGTGCTTTTAATCGCTTTGCCGTTTTTTTTACGCTGGTTACTTCTTTTTTTTTCTTAAAATTTTAAAAGTAAATAAAATTTAACTCGACTTCGTAATATTTATGGTTTTTTGTTGCAAAATTTATCTTAGTCATTTTACACGCTAAGTTGTATGTGAACGGGACGGGGCACATTATGCATTCCTCTAATACCAGGCGGCCATTCGCCGTTAAACGTTTTTTCAAGAATAATTAGCGTTCTCTACTCATATCTAATGCTTTTAACGGAAAAAAAATGTTTCAGGAAAGATCAGTTTTTTCGCAAACTTGATCTTGCAGGTTTATGGGAAAAAATTTCGATGGATATCTCTTCGATCCAAAACTTAACGCGTTAGAAGGTGGCGGTAATTCAAAATTACAGCGTAATTTTTTTTTTTCGAGATTGTTATACACGGTTGGATAGAGAGGTGGGCATCTCCAGTTAGATACAATTTCAAATCCGCTAAGAAATCTAAACTTCAACTCTGTTTAAACTTCGAGTTGAAATCTATTCGTTCTTTTTCCTTTCTGTTTTTTAATTCGTTTGTATAATAGTCATGTTTTCTTTTATAATAGTATGCACACAAAAGAATGATTATAATAAATCAAAATTACATTTCAACAATGTTAATTTTTCTTTTTCTTTCGTGTGATACATATGCGGCGAGATGTGAGGTATATCATAGGTTATTATATGCTGATATTTCTAGCGATAAAAATAGATGAAAACCAAACAAAAAGAACTTTCGTGAAGAAAAGAAAATGGGGCTGAAGAAATTTTGAACCGGAGTTTCGGAGTTGGAGTTGACAAAATCTGTCATCTACTCAACTCTGATCGTTTAAAAAGTAAACTCCAATTCAACTTCAACTCCGCAAAAAAAAGACGCTCAACTCTGATTGGATAGAGCGCATCAAGCTGAGTAAGAATATATGTAATTTGTTCAACAAATTTTTTAGGAAGGGTAGAATGACCACCTAACGTTCATCTATGATTTCACTCGGTCCGTTAACGTTACATGTTTTGTTGTTGATAGGAAGAAATTTTAAGATCTACTAAAATATTTACTATTTATATATCCGACGACATATTATAAGCCATGTGTATCAACGATTCCATTTTATGATAATAAAAGTATACTTTACAATGGTCTATGAAACTTCTTTTATGTTTAATTAATATTAAAACGTACGCACACACGAGAAAATTATTTTTTGTGCCCGATGCTACTGATTAGTGCCCGGTCCGGGTACAAATAAATGTTTTCACATTTTTGTGCCCGGAAAAAGAAATATGCCCGTCAATTGCATTGATTAGTGCCCGGTTTACGATTTTTAATTGAAATTTCAAGAAACAAGAGTTTTGTGCCCGGTTTGTTCGCGAGACTCTGTATTTAATGGATACTACCAAAAAAA